GACCCTGTCTCAAAAAAAAAAAAAAAAAAAAAAAAGAGCCATTCCCAGTTCTCCTTGCTGCCCAGGAAGTTATATTTGTAATCCCATGAAAAGGTGTTGGAATTCTAGTGAGCTAATTCCAGTCTACCACTTCCAGTATAACCCACAGAGAGAATAAAGACACTAAGGCATATTTGTAGTTATGGGGAGCCAAGGGGTCCTAAGTCCAGGTACAATGATGGCTATCGGAGACAAAGGCTCCGACCCAGGGCCGTACGTGGGTCTTATTCATTCGTGAAGGAGGGAGTGGCTTGAGAATGAGTGACTGAGAATGGCGGGAAGTATGTGAGTGCGTGAGCTGGGCTAGGTAGGAGGCCCGAAATCACCTCTGCGATATGCAGAGAAGGATCTGCTGGAAGAGTGATCTGCATGACACAACTGAGGCAGGCGGTAATGTTTTGGGGTCGGTGCTGCAGCTCTGATGTGTAACCTTTCATGCCCTGGGAGGTCACAGCCTCTTACTCAGGCTCACCCCAGCCGACAGCGTGGGGCACACTCTCCATCGGCTCACACTTTATTTGGGAGTGTTTCCCTTCCCTGTCACCTGTGCTTCAAAGACTGCACATCAGCACCTCGCTTGGCCGACTTGCATGGCTTAAAGACAACTGAGCCAGGTGCGGTGGCCTACGCCTATCCCACACGGGAGGCTGAGGCAGGAGGATCATCTCGAGTTCGAGACCAGCCTGGGCTACCAAGTGAGCTCAAGGCCAGCCTGAACTGCATGGCAAGACCCTGTCTCAAAAAGACAAAAAAAAAAAAAAAAAAGACAGCCACGCCTGGGGGACAGGTACTGGCACTGAGATTATTAAGTCCATGTACGTGTGTGATGTATTTTAACTACCATCCCACCCTCTGTGACATTCACTCACTAAATTTATCATTTGGTTACGAGTGAGGTCACCAGGTAAGGCCCACTCCCTGCCCGTCCCATGGCCGAGCCCAGGCCCCAGCCCCAGGAGCTCATCAGCACATGGCAGTGGGCCAGAGGGAACCCCAGGGACGCAAGGACTCTGGTCCATGCTTTCAGTCAGTGTCCGTCTGTCCCGAGGCCCACCTTGTTTCCGCAAGCAGCACATCTGAATGATGCAATACGATTTTTGCCACAAAAAAACCCACCGACCAATGGGGAAGGAATGAATGGTGAGTGGGGATCAAGCTGGCCACACTCCACGTGACAGTTTTCTGGCAAGAGTTTCAGGAAGCCGCCACTGCCCCTCCCTCTTGCAGGGGTGAGGGTGGGGGTGGAACAACCTCGGATTTTTGTAGGACAGCAGTCACGCATGCGTCAAGAGAAGATAAAAGGTAGCGTTGTGACACAGGGTGAGAGCGCAACGGGTGCGCTAGAAAAGGAATCTTCTTTTCTTTTTTTTTTTTTTTGTCTTTTTGAGATAGGGTCTCGGCTGTGCAGTTCAGGCTGGCCTTGAGCTCACTTTGTAGCCCAGGCTGGCCTCAAACTCGCACCGATCCTCCTGCCTCAGCCTCCCGAGTGCTGGGATTGTTTTCTTTTTTCTTGCTGCTTAACAAATCAGTCACCGGCCGGCAGCTAACCCACAACCTCACTTCTTAGTTCTGGTGGGAGGCAGAGCCTGAGACGCTGCGTGCTCAGACCTGCCTGGGGCCATCTGGCACCCACATGCTTATGAAGCAGAGGCCACGTCCAAATAGCACAGGTGCCACCTCCTCACTGCCCAGGAGGCCACACATCTGGCGGGGAGGTAAGTGGGGATTGAACCAGGGAGTGCTCAGCTGCATCCCCAGCCCTTCTGGTTCTTTAATTTTGACACAGGATCTCACTAAATTATGCAGTCTGTCCTTGAACTTGCAACCTTCCTGCCTCGGCCTCCTGAGTAGCAGGGCTAACAAGCATGCCCCATTTAGATGACATTCCCAAAAGGTGCCCCCTCAACATCATTATGAAGGGGACAAGGCCTCCAGCAGAACCATTGGGGGACAGATCATAGCCACACTGTAGCAGATGATGACATCAAAGGAGCATTTGGTTTTTTTCGAGTCTCACTATGCAGTTCAGGCTGGCCTTAAACTCACTAAGTGGCCCAGGCTGGCCTTGAGCTCATGGAGACCCTCCTACCTCAGCCTCCTGAGTGCTGGGGTTACAGGCGTGCACCACCACATCCCACAAGATGGTAAAAACTCAGGACTTTCTATTTACCATCTTAATCATTTCCAAGAGGCTCAGTAGTGTTAACAGCTGATTGCTGGGCAACCCGTCTCGACTCTGTCTTGTCAAAGCGAAGCTCTAATGCCCCCTCCCCTCCAGCCCTCGGTTGACCCTTACTGTAGTTTTTGTCTCTATGAATTTGTGTCCTCTAGGACACTCCTACGAGCGGAGGTATGGAATTTGTCCTTTTGTGACTGGCTTATTGCATTCGGCATAATATCCTCGGCCCCTCTGTATTGTAGCAGGTGTCAAAATTCCCTTCCTTTTTCTGGCTGAATAATACTCCACTGTGTGCAGACACCTCATTTGTTGACCCATGTGTGTGTTGATAGACTCAGGTTGCCGACAGAATGTTTCTAAACAAAATATTTAACCCGCTACATATGTCTCCCTTGTGCTGCTTGGGAAAACAAGTAGCAGTCATTTCCCAGTTGAACCTGTAGATGGCTGGATTTCTTTTTTTTTTTTTGGTCTTTTTGAGAAAGAGTCTCGCTATGCAGTTCAGGCTGGCCTAAAGCTCACTTTGTAGCCCAGGCTGGTCTCGAACCCGCAGTAATCCTCCTGCCTCAGCCTCCTGAGAGCTAGAATTACAGGCGTGCGCCACCATGCCCGCCTCCGATGGCTGGATTTCTGATGTCATCCAGCTGGGCAGCCACCCGCCAGACCCAGCCTTTTCTGGGTCCCCTGCGCCACCTGCTGGTGCTCTGCAGAACTGCTCCTCGGGCCAAGCTCTGAAGGAGGCCAGAATGAGTCTGGGCGTTGGGGCTGCAGCCATCTCCGTGCTCGGACAGGGCCAGGGGACTCATCCCCAAAATGCCTTGCCCATGAGGTTGTTAGAGAGAAGCTGGTTTCCACAAGCCTTTGGACAGAGGCCTCAGTTCCTTGCTTAATGGGCTTCTCCAAAAAAGCTGGCTGTGGAGAAGGCAGCCGGTTTTCCCTGGAACAAGTACTGTCACAAGTCTTCATTTCGTCCTTGCCGAAGCAAATTACTAAGCCTGGTACACATTCAACAGGAGAGAAAAACCAGGAGTAGGGATACAAGGGGGTGGACATCGTCGGGTCATCTTAAAGGCCAACTAGCAGCCGCAGTCTCCACCACGACTACCGAAGCTCACCTCCTTCCAACACGCAGATGAGCCAGGCGTGG